ATGTATAAGCCTATATGTGCCTATGTGCTTTTGCAGACGGTTTCAGTGGAAAAGTTTTTTTTTTTTACCCACACATCGGTTTTGAAAATGATTATGCCGCAAAACAAGTCGGAAATGAAAGGTCAAAGCAGATGAATTTCTCATAGATTCATTTAACATATAAATTTTTACTTGCATACGCATATGTATATGTAGATATGTATGTGTGTGTGTCTTTGTTGAGCTGACTTCGACAGTAACTTCAAACAAAAGGGTTATGTGTGCAAACTGAGCCAAGCCTCAAGGCAAATGCACAAATTTTATTTACCTACAAAATTCGAGCGAACGCCTACATAAATAAAGCAGACAACAAAAACAATAACACTAAATATATATATGCATGTATGTGCATATAAATGAGTTTACACGCATACAAAATTTCCACAATAGATAATATTCACATAATTTTCTTGCTCGGAATTCGTTTGGAATTTTTCGAAAGCAACGCAAGTAGAAATTTAATGAAACAGCAAAAACAACAATTAAATAAAAATAAAAGGCGTTATATATTATATATGTATGTACATAGGTATGTGCATTGGTATGACAAAAAAAAACATAGCCAAGCTGCAAAAATACAAAATCTTTAACATAGAAAACTATTTTTGGAAATGTTGTATGTAGGCAAAGAGCTGTTTTTGTGAATATTTATTTTCAAAAATAAAATGAAATGCTCTCGTTTAGACTTTCGGTTGGTTGCCTTTACAGTTAGTTGGTCATCGCTTTTAGCCACCGTTGCTGCAGGCGGCGATTTTTCATGGCGCTTTACCGCTCTTTGCTTACAGTGGCCATCACTACTGCATCAGTGTGTGTACATGTATGTGTATGTATGTGTTCTGTTTTGCGCGTGTTGCTGTATGCATATGACCCGCAGGCGTTGTGTGAATTTTTAGTTATTTGCAAGTGTTCGTCAACACAAAGAAAAATCTGCTCACACACACACACACACTACCATAAGCGTATATGTATTTAGTACGGGCGTAGTTAGTAGCTGGAATTTGAATACATTTATCTATTTGTATAAATATGTAAATGCACACCTATTCACACACACACGCACACGCATATGTATATGTATGTGCTCAGTGCCCTCATCTGGCATCTGTTAATTTATATCAACTCGGAAAATAGCCATACTTCGAGTGGAAAATGTATACAAAAATTCATAAACAATATCAGCCAAATATGCAGCACGTACGTAGGTATATATGTACAAGTAAGTATGTATATAGACTTATTTGTGGTAATCTGCGAACATGCATTGGAGTCCATATATTATACTATTCATTAAATAGCCGCAGGCAGCTACATATAAATATTACTTTCCAAAAAACACTTTTAAAAGTCCATTTTTATAACCATACATACGTATATATTTCTATGTATATACAGGGTTGCAAAAAATGCATTGAAAAGACAACTGAAATAACTTTGAAATTAATTTTTATACTCTTGCCACATGTTGTTACGAGTAAAACAGTTATATTCACCTAGCGATTGTTTGTATTACCTAAAAATAATCGAGTTATATTTTGCTAAGCCCACATATACTTAATAAAAAAAATTTCGAACATGCGGCTGACTTTATACTCCATACATTGGCCAATATATAAGTTATCTTATTAAAATGGGTGAGCGTTTTTATACCTGAGCATTTCTGTGCCTAACTGCAATTTCGTCGAATAATGAATGTCGAATTTTTTCGCAACATTTTTTAATATGAAGTTTTGCCAACACCTAGAGGTATTTCCCCGGCTTTCATCCTTGCAAGTTGCAAGCGTATGAAATGTTCGGTTACACCCGAACTTATCCCTTGCTTACCTGTTTTTATTTTGTAATCCTGAAAAACTTAATTTAAAATATTTTTGAAACTTCTAATACCTGATTGAGAAGTCAAAAACTAAAATTTCAATCCCAAATACCGAATTGAAAAATATGGTTTCGGTTAGAACATTTTCTTTCATCTTATCTCTTTTCGTTTCATCTTTAGATTTGAAAAATATATATTTTTTTTTGTTACTCAAATTTTGCATTAAAAATATTATATATATATATACATATAGTCACTAGAAAATTCGCAACCCTGTATGTAGGTATATTCGCGTATATATAGATATATTAATTTGTGCATGAGTTCGGAATTCTGAGATCCATTGCATTGTGAGCAAAATGAAAGAAATTTTGAGAATAGCCGCAGAAATATGTACTTGAATGTACCGTTAGACACACACATACATATACATCTCTATATACATATGTGCATGCATATATACATACATATATTCGTGTATACATACGCACGAAACTACATAATACCCCAAAAGAAATATCTATTTATTTAAAAATTTACTTAAATTGTATAAAATTTTACGTAAATGTGATAATTTTTTTGTGCATTCTTTCATATTTTCGTTTTTTTTTTAATTTTGTCTAAAAACAATTTTTATTTTTCTTGGCAACAGCTCTTGTGCTCTGTGCGTCGGTATATTGTTAATAGTCCCCCACCTACACACTCGTTCTTAATTAATAGAAATTTTAAAAATAAATAAATTACATTTAAATTGTCAATTTACTAGGTGCAGACAGCCAAAAATATCCAAGAGTGTTGCAATGACTTACTCGTACAAAGCTAGATTTCAACCGAACGCTAGAAATTTAAAAATTTCACAAGTCGTATTTCTAAAATTATTATATTTTATTTTTGTTTTTTTTCATACATTTCAACATTTTCTTCGATCATACCCAAACATAAATTTTTTCTTTAGCCAATAGTCAATTCTCTGGAGGCGTTACTACCGACGTTTACATACCAACTGAGCCCAACTAACAATGTGATTTCATTCACCTCCGCACTCTGCTTCGTAGACATCTAGAAAACTTATGGCCTAAACCAAAATCTAACATAGATTAGAACCTTCTAGGATTGTCATGTCCAAAACTTCCTCTCCACAGCTGAAGAAGTGGATTACGAATTATGTAAGCGGGCGAGACAATGATTCATGGTATTTCGAGGTCAATACAAAGTGGTATACTCTCCCTACTTCAGCTGCATTTTTGAATCTAATGCTGGTGACTTTCTGATTATGGCGAATGAGCTCTGGCTTCTTGGGCTGTAGAAGCCTAGCGTTATCCTCTGCAGTACTGTCTACTTTACTTACTAAAAAGTACAGCTCTATCCCTCATAACAGACGATGGTGTCAAATATCCGACTACGCGCAGCTTAAACAGGTTCGGAGTAGTTTTTAGACAATGTGCATCCTTCGTTCCTCAGTAAAGTAAAAGTACAGAGCCTTCACAGTCATCTGCAAGGACTATAATGAAATAAACTGGGACTAGTAGAATATCGATGAAAACTACAGATCTTTCAAAAAACTGAACGGAAGAGGTGTCCTAACAACAGAACTTAATAACGTTCACAGGCAGATCCGTGAACGACGTTCTGTGTGTCATATCATAACCAATAGCCAATAGAAACTCCCGCAATCCTTCCATAATTGCGGTCTGAATACACATATACATATCAAACAAACGAGTGGAACCCATATCTTCCTACGTCCAAACCCATTCAAAACAAATTACATGGAATTACCGACAGCTGAAATAATCTGTAAACTTATACAAGTATTTTCAAACCTTCGTGGAATGAAGATGTTTTAATATCCTAAAGAAGTAGGGGTGTTTTGTAACTGAGGCCACTCGTTAACTAGATGTTATATATATAATTATGTAAGATGCTGTTGTGGTGTTGTGCAGCTTCCGTTTTACCACATAAAGGGTATTTCAAGGGTGGCCAACTTTGGGTTGAGTAACTTTGTTAGATAATTTATTTCTATCAAGCGAATATGTTTTCCTAGGCTCCCTAAATTTGGAAGCTTCTACAGTACCTATGACACCTTGAACCTCTTCGGTGTGAAAGCAAGCGGCGTATTCTTATTTGGCATTTTGGGCATCCGTCGGAAAACACGTCTTTTAGCCTTGTTCACCGAATAACTCACGAACTCTTTAATTATGTCAGATTGAATAAGGATTTGACGCTTGGTCAGAACTTACTGAAACCAAAGAAGATGTTGTTACGGTTGAAGTCCTGCATCACATTTGGATCCCGATCAACCCGGCTTAAGAGTTAAGAGCTTAAATCATTGTTGTTGTAGTGGTTATCTAGATTGATCATTGAAGTCATCTAACGGAAGATCCAGGAAACAAACTGCATCGATGGGTCCGGACCATAGGGATGTTGGGTTTTAAATGAGGTAGTTTCGTCGGTCATGCAAAGAGTGGATTAGACTCATTGTATGCAGGTTTGGTATGTCGTATCAAACAAACACTGATGATGGTTATATCTGTCGAGCTTTCGCAAATATTTACAAAAAAAATAACTGATTCTCATATATAAATTTTTAATATTCTTCGTAATTAAAAAAAATTCTGGATGTATTAATCTCAATAGTCTTCGATCAGCTGATTTTCGACTGGAAGGTTTCTATGGAGGTATCAAATTCCCTCCCCTTTATTTCGCTGTTACCAGTAATAAAATCATTTCTTTTACCCTCTCCCTGACGGAACAGCAATTATACTGTGTTTATTAAAACTTAAATTAATTTTTAATAATTTGCTGGGGATTGAATCAAACATTATAGCTGCGCAAGTGTAGGTATTACTGTGATCGTTTTAACGAAATATTATCTACATAATAACAAATATGCACTAAATAATTTCGATAGATCTATAAATATTAACAAATCCATATGCAGAGATAATCTCTATCCAAGCGTTTGTACATAACACGTGAGGGCCAGCATTAGCATTAACAGTATTTCGAATTTATTTCCTACGAGTAATGTGTTTCGAGTCTCGAACAAGCGATTCTCGTTGATATTTTCTTTCATTTTACTGTCACTTGGAATTGTTTTCATTTGAATTTCTTTTCATTTCATTCGTAAATACTACCAACCTTAACCTCACAGTTCTCACCATAAACAGAAAAGTGTAGAGCACAAAAGAACCGACAAAATATTGCTCGTTAAAATATAATTTCTATTTTCTATTAAATAAAATCACAATAACGTAAAATGAGGGAGACGCCACTTTCTACCATTGAGCGTAATTTTATAACACAGGCAGTCAAACAAAATTTGGTAAGTGGCCAAACGAAAGCGGCAAACACGCGGTAGAACGAAATCTGTTTATAAAACCATACTTTTCTTCATTTTGCTTTCTAGCGCCTAGATGGTCGCAAAAATGATGAATTTCGTAAGGCAACCATCAATTTCGGTGCAGATTGGGGCAGCGCACTCGTGGCACTTGGCGAAACCAAAGTGCTCGCGCAAGTATCTTGTGAGCTGGGTGTCCCCAAGTCCACACGCCCCAACGAGGGCATTATTTATATAAATGTCGAATTGGGGCAGATGGCGGCACCACATTTTGAGTCCGGACGCAACTCCGAGTTAAATGTGCAAATTAGTCGTACTTTGGAGCGAACATTTAAAGATTCACGGTGTGTTGACTTAGAGTCGCTTTGTGTTACCTCAGAGGAGCGCGTATGGTTACTGCGCATTGACCTGAATGTATTAAATCATGAAGGCAATTTAATTGGTATGTAGATTATTATTTCCAAATACTGGTCCATAATTTTAATATATTATTTATTTTAGACTGCTGTTCAATTGCAGCGCTAAGCTCGCTACTGCACTTCAAACGTCCGGACGTGAGCATTATTGACAACGATGTGCATATACACTCGGCAGCCGAGAAGGAACCAATACCTATGGTGTTGCATCACTACCCAGTTTGTGTCAGCTATTGTTTGTTCGATGATGGCCGCTTGGCTGTAGCCGATCCCAGTGTATCGGAGGAACGTACCGCAGATTCTGCGCTGGTGTTCGGCTTGAATTCATTCCGTGAATTGTGTTGTTTAAATTTAGGTGGCACAACACTTACAAGCTCCACACTGTTGTTGCAATGTGCCACACGTGCAGCGCGACGTGCCAAGTTTGTTGTTGATTATGTGAAGGAAATGCTGGAGTTGGATAAAATGGCGAGAGATGATAATAGAAACGCTGGTTTCACAGAGTGTGTGCGCCTCAATCAAATTACAGCTTTGGCGGAAAATCGTTTGTCGCTGCGCCTACGTAATTTCAAACTACAAGAAACTAGCGAATTGAAAGAAGCAAATCCAATGGAAACAAGTGGTGATGAAGAGGATGACAGTGAGGAAGAAAACCCAGATGACCAAAAGAACGGTAGACAATAAATTCGTTTTTGTATTTTTAATAATAATATGTAAATACGCTAATGGTAATTTCAATATTACACAGTCGTTGCCATTGACTCCAAATCGGCTCTGTTGGAATCCAATCAATCTAACATCAAATGGGTACCGGATGATGAGGACGCTGAGAGTAATGTTGAAAGCATGTGCTCAGAGAACGTCGCCGAGGAGGGCGATGAAAGCGAACGCAGCCTGTCACAACAAGTGGAAAAGCAAATGCGTAAATTTTCCAAAAAAGAGTCAAAACGTGCATTAAGTAGGAAGCATTTGCAACGTAAGTTTTACCATATCAATTATTAATCAATTTTATATCCACATTATTTTCACAAATTCTCTAGACGATGCCAGTGATTCGGAAGAAGAAGCAAAAGTAATTTTGTAAACGTGAATGAGATACAAGGAATTTTTACCTCATCTCTTTTTAGCATACTAAGAACTGATTTTAATAAATATGCCTATGGCATGCAAAACAAAACACGGGCTTTATTAACTTCTGATGTTTGGTGTAAAAGTGAAAAATTATCATACTGTAACCTTCGCCTCTAAACACATATTAGCACTTTTTTCAAATTAAATAAATTTTCGACTATTTAAGTAGTATTGCAAAAATCGAACAATGACTTTATTCAACAGTGTTATGTAGTTGGCTACTTTACATTTCTATAAACATACCTATACGTAATATTATTTGATAATAACTGCATATTGTATTTTGTTTTTCAAATTAAAATCAACATGAACACGGATTATACTATATAAGCAATATTTACTTAGCACTAAATACATACAAATGTATATAATAAGGAAGCTTAAGAAGCTAAGGGCATGTTGCTTCCGACATTGGCGCCTAAAATATGTTGTAGAATAATAGCAACCAATTAACAACAACCTGGAGACTCATCAGTGCTTCCCTCAGGTTGTATCATTGCCAATGCCATTCTTTTGATCCAGCTTATTCGAATTCGATTTAACCATGTATACAAAGTAGGTGATGGTTTCCTGCTCTTTGATCGGTATCGTTTTGAAATGTTTCATGATTGTCTGAAATTAAAAAAAAAAATTGTATATGTATATAACTTTTGAAATGTCGACATTTGAATTAACAACATATATATATACATCAGTCGTATACTTACATCTGCCAATTGTTGTCGCTTCATACCCGGTCTCGTCTGCACTTTGTAGTGACGTTTATATCGTCGCAATGTATTCACTTGCAGTTGATAAAGGTCCGGCATTACAACGTCTGGTGTTTCGTTATCGGTTTCATTGCTATCCTCCTCAGATTCCTTACGCCGTCGTTTACTGCGTGCTGATTGTATTTGCGATTTGTGGTATTCACAGATGTAAATGCGTTCCGCGGTGGGATCATTACGAAGTTTTAGACGTTTTTGTTGCACAGTTTTTTGTATACGTTTACTATATCTGGCATTACCAGCGGGATTTCGGCAACGTTCGTCATCATCGATAAGGCAACATGTACTATGGCCATCACGAGAGTCCTCGTCTGCTGAACTGAACCCACCGTTATTCATGCTAACAGCTACTTAACAATAGCAAACCTAAGTTATGCTGTTTTTTTTTTTTAATATTTTGATGTTCGTTTATTGTTATCGAATTTTCAAAATTTTTTTCACAATGTTATTTTCATATACAAAATCAATGACACAATTACGTAGTGGCAAAACTTTCACACTTCACTCCTCTGATACGCATCAAACGCATATAATGTTTTCTTCATGAAAGTCACGTAGACTTTTTTATATATATTTATTTTCTTGCTCGTTGTCTTAACTATTCGTTTTTGCTTAGCCTAGTTTGTGCACAGTTGTATCTGGGCAAAAAAACAATTTTTTTGTATAATAAACTTTATGCACGGGCATCACGAATGTGAAAGAACGAAAATTGCAATTGGAAACAATTAAATAAAGAAAGGAGAGCAAAGCGTATATCAAAAACATAGTGTTGAAAAACGAAATTATAAACGTCAACACACTGTCGGCTAGTATGAAATGTTCACACCCTTTGTAAATAGCGAGTTGCCAGTAAAATATGCAGAATTGTTATGTTTCAATGATTAAAACTTTAATCTTTCTTTTTTTTTTTAATTATATAGTAAACTATTAAAAGTTCTAGTTTTAGAAAAATAGTACTATTTATAAAGAGACTAGCACACACTGTACTGTGTTGGAGCCTCGAATCAACCCTGTGTACTCGAAGTCTTGCTCAAAACGAAACTGAAAACTAAACGCCGATTACACTTTGCATTCTTTCGCAAGTTGTGAAGCAGAGTAGTCAAGTTTAATTTAGTTCGTAAAATCAAATTGGAAAGAAACGCTAGTGACTTATAAAATACTTGTCCCGCCCGCCCTACAGCATACTCAAGAAAAAAAAACTACATTTACACGTTGGAGTTGTTTTAATTTGTGTTCTTTGAGTGAATTTACAGTGATTGGGAATGTGCATTGCAGCGGTGTGTTTCAGCAGTAACTAAAAGTTTAGGAAAATTGCAACAAAAGCACAAATAGAATATATTAAATTTGAAATAAGTGAAAGAAATCGCGAATTACAAAGCCAGAATCCGAAAGTCGCGAGTGTTGTCCGTGTAGTTGTAAAGTGGCTGAAGGAACACACACATTCACATAAAAGCGGAAGAGAACGCCGCTGTTGCTGTTGTTGTCGCAGTCGCCGTTGTCGTCGGCGAAGAAGTAGGAAAAAGTAAAAAAGCAGTTTAGCTCGTTGGTACAAAGAATTTCACATTAAAATAGGTTCGCGAGAAAATTTATAAACAAATTACAAAAACACATAAAATGTCGGTTTTAAATAAATTTACAAAAACCTTGTCGGCGGATGAAAAAGCAGAAATTTTGGAGAAATTTACAGAAGTAAGTAAACAATACAAAAAAAAACATTGCTGCACCCCCCACACAGAATAGAATAGCGGTTTGGTTGTGTTCGAGGAATGCTAGCAGTCGACGGTGACGCGTTATCTGTACAGCGACGTCGACGCTTCAGTCGCTACATTATTAATTGCACAACTGCTGTGTTTTACTGAGTGTACAAGGAGAATAAAGTTTTAAAATTATGTTTTAAAAAAATTGATGCAAAATTGGCATATCTCAAGTTGACGCACTTGATGAGTCATGTTGCAGTCGCTTTGTAGGTAGTGGTAAAACAGACGACTTATTCGCAAACTGAGGGCGAGGTCACCTAATGAGTGATGGGACGTAACGCAAAACTGCGCGACTTAGGTACAACGCGTACAGGACACAACATAAAATCCTTCTTTTGCTGGTATTGCAATCAGACTGATTTAAAGGAGTGTCTATAGAAGTCAAGTAGTGTAGATTTAGACAGAAATGTATTATAGTATATTCAAATCGCAAAAGTGAATTATTAATAGTGCAGTTTTACACCCCCATTATGGAAGATGGTTCACAACAAGGGTGACTTTGATAAATGGATTTCTGCTAGCTTCTAAGTGCCCTACGTACATATAAGCTCTATCGCTGGAGATTGGGGATGGATTTTTTTAAAGCAAATCATATTAACTTTGAATTTTCATGCTATTTAAGTGGTATATTTATATTGTATGAATTTAAAGTGCAAATTGTGTGTAAAAATGAAACAGTATCGCAAAATTCTAGCTTTAAAACCGCTAGTGCTTGCTGCCCTGCTGTTACTCGTTGTCGGCAACGCCTTTTGCTGTATTCGAGAACCCAACATAGTGTGGCTCTTCCTCTGCAGTTTGATGTTTCTTAACCTGCGTTGAATATCGAATGCGATGGATAACGTTGCTATGCTTAACATACATAAGTGCATATGTATGTCATATTATGTATCTATGGTACTGCCGGCATCGGAGCGTATGTGAGTTGTCAAGTTCAATGTCGTAGGTACATAGAAGATAAATTTGTATGTACGCAGATGTTTCATAAGGAACCTATTTACGCGAATATATAATATGTGGTATCAGTTCCATAACGAAGCCACATTAAAGTTATGTACGCTCAATATTCGAAACAGTTGGAGTTTATGAAATGTGATTTGTTGTAACTCATACAGTACTTTTCAAATCAGCGTATTCAATTAACTTCCATACAAAAAACATTTGCAATGATTTCCATAATTGACTGCACTTTCCTTATTTACAGTACAGCTGCAAATTTTATTGCATCGCACACGATGTACATATAAAGGCGCGGGAGCAGCGTTGAAGGCTCCGAGTGTCATTTGTTTATATACATATGTAATATGTTCGTATGTATGTATACTATACACAAATACACATCAGTATGCACGCACATGTATCTACAGCATTAATGCCTTTTTACTTGAGTATGATTGTAACTCAATAATAGTGCACACTTGGCTTGCTGTTGGGTGCTCTGCCGGGGGTGCTTTAGCTGACAAAGTGCTTGAGTGAGCCCGCGTTGTTCGTTTTCGACGTTGCGAAGCAGTGAAAGCAATGCATGTATCCAAGTGCACCACTTCAAAGTGTTTTTATCCGGCTGCGTCGCATTGAAATGTATTGAATATTATTAAAGAATATATCAATTCACTTTTCTTATGGCGGCGCTTATGCCTTGAATAATAAATTTGCTTCCAGCAGGCATTTTTCGAAACTCAGCGTATTGCTACATACTTATTTTCATACATATACACATGCATATAACTTATTGCCTGTATTCACTTGCATTCCAACAGCAAGCCTACTCTATATGCCTCATGATCCGATTAATTGACTTGAGTCGCCAAGTATTTGCGAGTGCCTCCTATCAAGTCGCCTGTTTGGACTCAATACTTGTGTTCTCTTAATTCCTTTGTTCACTTTATTATGTGTTTATGGCTGACATTAAAACGCATACCCGCAAAGTAATAAACTGTTAAGCAGCCATTCAAGGTCTTTCCCAAGTAATTTACAACAATCGCATTTCTTTATGATAAATTCCACGGAGTGTGGATACTGTACAAAGTATTGTTAAACTTGAAAAAGACATGTTAATGTTCATACCTACATCCATATATATAGTACACATGTACTTATGGTTATATTTTCAAATTCGAACAGAACGCAAACAATGTGCCTGCATTCATGTTTACATACAAAGTTACTTGTATAAAAGTTGTAGGGCAAAGCAGAACAACGTCAGCTGCACCCATCCAAGCAGCAATCACGTTTTATAAGTATACACTATCTTAAGCACAAATGTTTGTTCATAGTGTATATGTGTAATTGTTATCTAGCAGCTTTGTGCGATATCTGTATATCAGTTGCACTTTTATCGTAATTTGCAGCATGTGATATGTTATCCGCCCGAACGCCCTACCGTTAGGCTCGTGTCAATCAGATGGCCAACAGCCCATTTCACACTTATGCTAAGCATTTACGTTTATATTTTGCCGTTGTTGGTTTGTAAGACTAACTATTTTAACAAATATCTTTGTCATTACTCAGCTAAAACACTTCAGCTGTCAGTTTTGCGGCTTCAAACAATTGTTTTATGTTGATAAGCAAATAACCGTCGAGAATCGCTTATCACCTTTTGACGTTTATCTTCAGCTATGCGAATAAAAATTGTTTTTCATTTATACCCTGTAGGACACCGTTTCCTTAGCGTTTCTATTCTATTCTATGTGGAACTCGATTTCAAATAAAATTATTTTAACATACTATGCATGTAGTATATCACAAAAACAAAAAACTTATTATTACAATTATTTTTTATCAAATTAAATAGTTATTGGTATAAAAAAAAATTGTTATTAGAGCCTCTTCGGCAACATTTTACTCTCTGGGTTGTTTCTTTATTTCTGTATATGTATTTTATGCATAAAAATAGCAGAATAATGTCGTTAAAATCATATGCTTGATATGGGTCAGCTCAAAACACCTGACTGACTGATTTGATTAGCCGTTTGAAAAGTACATACGTTTAGACAAATTGGTAGATTAGATAAATAATATGCAATAAGGCGTTTTTCATAATCGAGTCCAAAATTCAGAATTACAAATTTGAATTTGTTTTACCGATAACTCGATTCCGAATAAGTAATAGAGGATTTTACCACAATTTAAACTAATAAATAGAAATATCTCGACTTATTGCATAACCGATTATTATTTGAGTTACAGCGGTTAGGTAATTTATACCGTTATTGCGTTAATTATTTACTGCCTTTCCACTTTTTAATGTTAGGTTATTGCCTTCCATTTCCGCATGTAATAAAGATTTACGATAGATTATAATTATTACTAAAATTGAAGGTCCTTCACCTGAATTAAAAATCCTGGTCCGTTCCGGTTGCTATTAATGTTTCCGGTTATTTAATAACCCAGGCGTCTTAACAACTGGTAAACTTCCCTCCACAACTGGTAAACTACCAAGCTGAAAAATGCAAATCCGTCAAATTCAAGGACAGGTCATACAGCGGATTAGAGAAACTCCGTACTGCGAGAAATCAACTAACCAAATTTTTTAATAGATTTTAACTTCGTCATCAGGGTTATCTTGTGGCCGAACCTTAATTTCTGTATTTTGAAATTCAAATTAATTATAATCCTCTCATATGCTAATAAGTTCGAATTAACTCTTAAGTTCTTCGAAGACCAAAAACAGGTCATATTTTGTTCTTGTAGCAACATACCTAATGTGATCAAATTTAACTCGGACTAATAAAGAAAAGGCATCATCGCGCATTATCATGTTAAAAAATCCATGCATCTATGAACGGCACACCAATCCGGTCGTTTACGACGAATTGCTTCAAGTAGACACCTCAAAACAGTGTAATGAATTCATGGTGAACCACACCACGATAATCAAAGCAAACGATCCCCCAAAGCATCACCTTGATTTGGCCGAATTTGACATGGTATTTCGGTTTCGGCTCATTTTTGAAGCGGCATTCGCTAGATTGTTGGAAAGCTTCGACGTCATATTCAACACCCA